CGAATTTGCGGTTTATTCGTTGGCTATCGCTGTGAAGTCATTTTGGTCGATGTTAGGTGTATTGATAAGTGTGGTCTTCCTACTCATATTGCACATGTCCTTGATGTTCTTGTGCCAAGTTCTGGGGTTTTCCCTGTACAATTTTTGTGCAATAAAGTTCTTCTATGATTCCCCATCTGTCCACTTGTCAGGTACTTTACGGACATGCTGCCCATCATAGACTGGTCTGTTCCGTCCAAGCGGCCGGCACTGGTTCTCCTGCTCAGGAAACTGGAGAGGATGTTCAGCAGGATCTACAAGAGACCATCTTTAAGGGTTATTGTTTATTTCCTGTGCCTTTCTTCATTGAACATTAAGTTTGGCATGCACGTTTTTGAAGATGTGTGCAAATTATTGGTAGGTAGGCAAATCAAGCAAGATTTCAAGAGCATGCCCTTGGTGGTCAAGTTATGATATTACATCAAACAAATTGAGATGAGGGAAAAAACTTGAACACTGCAGATGTGTACTGATCTTGAAGTTCAGCTCTTGTAATTTTATAAAAAGTTTCATGCATTTAACAGAGAATGATTTTTGTGCAGTGTCACCTGGATTGGGACTCTGCGACCAACCTGCTGAAAGGAGTCTACTTCACACTCACCAAACAGAACATCATCGCACATCTGCCGCAGCTAAATGTAAGTCAAGATAAGTCAATGAAGGTTACTAGTTTATAAAGTGGCGTCGGGTGGCGTAGTGGTACATCATTCGACTGTGAACCGGGAGACCCGGGTTTGATCCCGAGTCGTACCCGGGACATGTCTGGACATGCACCCAACGTTGTGTCCTTGGGAAAGGCACTTTACACGACTTTCCTCACTCCACCCAGGTGTGAGTGGGTACCTAACTTCGGTTGCGGAAAGCCGTATTGAGGTCATTGTGGTGCCGAATGGCAGCCACACAGACCCTTGCGACAGTTCCACAAAAAAATTGTGGAACAAATGTGTATCCTGTGTATTATTACTCCGTGAAGGAGGTCAGGACCTCCGTCCGGAGTGTTGTGATCGGCTGATTTTTCATGTTCGCAGTCAAAACACTGGGTTCTCTTTGTGTAATCGGCACGCAATTTTATACGCCGTCTGCGGGCATGCCCGTGTTGATGCACGAATGTGTATTTTTGCCGTTGCTGCTTTCGCGGTCAATGTAATATTGCAGACGCACCCCTACAATTACGAGGCGAATTGGAATGGTCCGGAAAAACGCGTTGTTTGGAATAGCAGTGGGGGGGTGGAACTTCATGCAGATACGGGGTGGTTTTGATAAGTGGTTCCAGATGTTTTTGCCCATGCTTAAGAGATGCCAAGTTTTTTGGAAGATGTTCGCAGCCAAAACGCATTCTTCCGTACGTCGCATTTCTGTGTAATTTCGCATGCGGTGTGGCATTATGTCCGGGAGGATGCACGTCTTTTTATTTTTACCGTAGCTGTTTTGATATTGAAGTAAATGCATATTTTAGAAACATCCCTACTTTTACAATCCTGTGGAATAGGCCGTAGGTTTAGGCAGTTGTCTGGTAGCAGAGGTACTGTAAGCTGATATCCTGGTTATCTGGCCGGCGGTAGTAACACTCGCGGTGCTTACCGCAACTGTTGCTGGAATTTGGCCTGTTCCAGGCGCGCTTAATTAGGTACAGACACGTTAAGACGGTGGGGCTGTCTTTGTTACTAGACACGACCATGATAGTCCGATCTTTATGTGAATGCAATGATTGTGTGTGTGTAATTAAAATGAACTTCGAACTTGAAGCACAGTATCTTTACACGCCGTGTGAGCAGTAATGAATTTAGCTCTTTGTATGTTTTATGCTTGTGACGCGCCCTCATTGTATTAACCGTTGCCTAATTATAATGTCTGCACAGTAGGTCTGGCGTTGACGCTTGGGATTTTGTTGAAATATATAAAACTTCACGGAGGATTGTCACCTATGGCTTCTTGTTTGATTGTTGTGATTTGCCTTGATTATGTGATACCCTGCATCAATTCAGCCGTATAAAGGCTGCGACTGCACGGGTACTGTTTGGACAATAAAAACCTTTTTAAACAAGATAGGTGTTAAAAACACCTTGGCGACGCAGAGTGGTAGTGATGTTACGTGATTTTGACGTAGGCCCGTAAGGCAGAAAAACGTATATTTTACCTGATGTGCACATGTGAAGTACGTGATATACCAAAAACGTGTTATTTTTTTGTGGGCAGGAACAATAATTGTCTACTGTGACAGCTTGTATGGTGAATTGATCTTTATCGGTAACGTTAATGAAGTGTATCACGTAGAGTATGTAGCATGTAGATCGTAGGCAAGATCAGAGTTTGCTTACGTATGTTTTGAATAGATTGAACACGTCCTTGTGTAGGTATTGGCCTGTTTAGATGTGTGTGGGTGATGTGCAGCATCGATGCAGGTGTGTTCGCTTATACGTGGTTTTGCAGATTCCCGAATTATCCTGCTAACAACAATAACGACCAACACAAAAGGTCAAATGAAGCCGGTGGTAACTCTGGAGGGCGCCACCCAGGCTACCGAAGCTCCACGACTCAAGAACTCAGTACATACGTACAGTGTCGATTCATAAATTCAGCAAAAAGCCAGCATGTGCCGGCTTGTCGTATACGTCGCTATGTAATGCGCCAAATTCACAATACCGGCGTTGTATTCCTGTGGTTTAGATTTTTATTTTTGGCCGGATTTTTCTTTTTTTGCCCGCGCGGACTAGTTTGGGGGTCTTCAGAGGATGTCATCCATAAAATTAAGTAGGTGTGGCCTAACAACAAAAAACACAAACACAAAAGGTCAACTCCATTCACGTAAGAACATCCCACGAAGCCCATGTTTGGCCTTGACAATGTCCATCACTAAGGCAACCTGCCTGCCAAAAATCGTGAACCTCGGACCATGCCTTCAAAATTTATCGTGCCAAAACGATTTCATTGACCCTAGGAATATTTTGTTACGCAGCTTGGGTGCACGTACGTATACGTTCACACAGATCTAGATTCGTAGGCTACAATTGCAAAGAAATTTAGCCAAGAAGAGATTGATAATAATCAGAGTATAAGCCATGCTTTTTTAAGTCTGATAAAACCTCCTTGGTCTAAATAATTGACAAGGATTTTCCAGCGGTTGTCATTTTCTTGCCGACTTGAACACAGTGATTGTCACTGCATTTTTCCGGCTCCCCGATGGCGAAGGGAGAGGCGGGATGCAGCATCTGTACCGATTTACAGTGATTTCTTGGCGACGGACAGATTTGTAGAACTGCGATTTTCACGAACTCGTTACATAAAACGTTACCGGTGGAAAAGCCATTTTCATAATACAATTTTTACGAATCAAGAAAGACCTACAAGAGAAATGATTGATAGCAGAAAAAGTGATCAATTTTTGTCACGCCTGTTTTGGTAACTATTCATAATTCCATTGTCATCACCAGCGAAAACTCACACGACCACGATAAATACGCCTACTAGTATATCATCCCAGAGCCAAAGTCGAATTTGATTACCCTAATATTTTCAAACTTTCAGCAAAAATACTACCATCGTAATGTCCATGCTTACTTATTTTATTTATTTAATTCGATTGCGACGATACAATACCCTGGCCACCCAGGCAGCATAGCTGATTTCGGGCGCCAAACAATACAAAGATTAAACATACACAATAACATACTAATACAGTAAACTAACAAGTAAAGATTAAGCTAAAATCAATCAGTTATCAATGTACAATACAACCAAGCATAATAAAGTACTCAGTCAAGATAATAATAGCAATTAATGTTTTGGAGGTCAGAGGTCAAGGGCAATTGGATATAATACAGTATGTGAGGAAATATATACATGTATAACGTAAGATTGTAAAGGGTTAACTTATGTGGTACCACGGGAAGGGCCATCTAAACGTTTTGTGGTGGAAATAAATGTTTCAAATGCCTCAAATAGTTGTTTGTTTGTGTGCATGTTACAGCCTGGTAGCCCCTGTAGTAGAACAGACTCGGTTAGACGGTGTGATGTGAGTTGCTCTACTGTGGAGGTTAAAATGTGACGCTGGCAGCTGTAAAGAGGACAGCGTAGTAAATAATGGGAAACAGTCTCAGAAGAGGTACCACAGGAGCACATTTTGTCTTTGATATTCATCAAGTGCAAGGTGGCATTTAGTGGGCTCCAGTCCATTCTTAGTCTTGCAGTTAGGATGTTGTAGTACCGAGTACCTAGACGTCTGTACGGCTGGTTATGTCTCGGAGTGAACAGGTAATCCTTGCACTTTCTCTTGAAGTCGTTTAGGCTGCTGGCTTCCTTCAGTGCCTGTGGAAGGTGGTTCCAAAGGGTAGAAGCATGTGGAATAAAACTGGACCTGTACACCTTCGTTCTACAGCGGGGAACATGAAGATGTGTAGTGTTGCTTAGCTGTAGACGAGTCGTTCTCCGTTCGCCTCTAGTGGAGGGGATGAGTGACTGCAGGTGCACTGGGACTAGACCATGCGTCATCTTGTACATTAACACCATGGAGTGGTAGTGTCTCCTGGTAGACAGGCTGTCCCATTCGAGCTCTCGTAGGAGGCTCGTACTGGGGGTCCCCTTCATGGCTCCTGTTGTAAGGCAGCCAGCATGGTATTGAACTTTGTCTAGAGTAGCGCTAGCCGTGCTGCCGAGGTCTCCTAGCAGTACTGATGCATACTCTATCTTTGATCTAATCATGGTGATGTAGGCTAGTTCAAGGGCCTCTCTACTCAGTTTTCCTTTGAGTTTGCAGAGAGCGCCTAGCAGTTTCCTGGCTTTGCTGGACAGTGCAAGTACATGTTCAAGCCATCTCAGAGATTGGTGGATGGTGACACCAAGGTGAGTATATGACGGGACCTGTTCGACGACTTTTCCAAAGATATACAGGGGAGGGAGCTGGACGTTCTTTCTGTCTGACTTGATGCAGACAACCTTGCATTTGTCTGGATGTAGTTCTAATCCCCAATCTACAAACCAGGTAGAGACTGTGCGTAAGTCGGCATTTACCGTGTCAGCTACTTCCTGTACTGTTCTTGCTGCTTTGTACAAGGAAGTATCGTCTGCGAAACAATTGATCTTGGACTTGCAAGAAAGGTTTTGGAGGTCGTTGATATATACAAGGAAAAGGAGAGGCCCGAGTATACTCCCTTGCCGAACTCCGGCTGAGGTTGTCCCCCAAGATGAGGTAACGCCGTTAATAGCCACTCGTTGTTGTCGGTCCGTCAAGTAGCTGTTGAACCAGTCGAGTAACTGGCCTCCTACCCCATAGCGGGTCAGCTTGTATATGAGCCCTTGATGCCAGACAGTGTCAAAGGCACGGCGGACATCTAGAAACACTGCCGCTGTACACGCTATCTCGGGGTCCTCGATGGATTTGGCCCAGTCATCAACTAGTCGAATCAGTTGAAGCACGGTACCATCGCCCTTCCGGAATCCTGACTGATGGTTGTTGAGCAATTTGTTGTCCTCAAGATGGGAGTACAAGTTGTTGTGAACCAATCTTTCCAGCACTTTAGCCACAGTTGGCAACAGAGCTATCGGTCTGTAGTTGTGGGGGTCCGTTCGGTTTCCTTTCTTGAAAACGGGGGTTATGTTGCATTGTTTCCATTCAGTCGGAAAGACTCCGGAAAGCATCAAGTGGTTAAATAAATCCCTCAAGGAAGTACAAATTGCTGGCGCAGCCTCCTTCAGTAACCTGTTGGAAATCCCGTCCGGACCTGCAGATTTGTTGGTGTGAAGATTTAGTAATACTTGGAGGACATCATCTGCAGAGAACTGGAGCACGTTTAGCTGCTCTGAAGTGAACATAGGAAGCCTCTTTGTCCTGTCTGGACGCTTTGCGTCCTTGGTGACATTGACGAACATTTGGTTTAAGAGTTCGGCTTTGTCAGAGTCTTTAGCGACTAGTTGGCCCTGGTTGGAGAGTGCTGGAATGTTCGTCTTCCCCTTTCCACTCAGCTTGCTAAGTACGGACCACAGAAGTTTGGATCCTCCCGGGGCTCTGATCTTGTCGCCGATGGACGCATAGTACTCTCGCTCTGCTTTGCGGAGTTCGGAGGTAAGCCGATTCTTGAATGTGGTGTAGTTAGTCCAATTTTCCTGTGTTCGAGACGACTTATAGAATTGGTACAGTTCAGTCTTTTGCCGAATCATGTCTAACAGGTCGGGGTTAATCCAGGGCTTGTGGGGTCGGTTACATACTTTGACAATTTTGTTAGGAACTGTGTTTTTAGCAATATTGAGAAATTTTTCCTTCCAGTTGTACCACATGTTGTTAACAGAACCTGTCATACAAGATGACCAATTCACTTTACATAGCTCATGTCGGAAAGTATCGAAATTTGCTTTATCATACAACCATACATGTCGCCTAGCATTGTTACTAGGTAAGTGCATATTGAGCTTGCAAACTACTAGACAATGATCAGAAGTAGCTAGAGGTGCTAACGTGTAAATGTGATTAATCCTACCGGGGTCAGATAATATGACTAAATCTAGTACACTACTACTGGTTTGTGTAATCCTTGTAGCCTCATGCTGGGACTGGTGGAGTCCGTTTCTATCTAGTATGTCCGCCAGAGAATGTCCGTTTTGGTCAGTGGTCGTTCCCCCCCAGGCTGTATGATGACAATTGAAGTCCCCAACAATGACGACTTGTCCCTTTTCCGACACCGCTCTGGTAACACTTTGTTCATGCTTACATGATGACTTGTTAACAGGTTTGGCCGTGTCGGCCGACAGAAAGCGTGGGAAACTCCTGCGTTACGTCATTGTCTGACAAGAGGCGCCCGAGAGTCTAGCTGTGAATGTTGCAAACATGCACTAGCAGGGTGTGGCTTAAAATAAGAAAAACTATCGGCAGCACGTTTTTTTCGTACTCTTGGCCCAATGGATTATCTAAAAAGTACAGAACACTATTTTGTTCATTTCATATCTCTCAACTATAAAAGGTCACGCGTTTCTGCAAGCAAGGAGACCTTGCTCCAAGTCGGTGAATCCAGTGACAGAGTCGGCACGACAGAGAGCGGGGCGTGATCAACCGCACCGACAGGTGATGGAAACCGTCGCCCGACTCGTGGTACAGATCTAGAACTTCAGAAGACTCGCACGTTATCGCCCACTAGCGTGTAGTATTAGTATATATATATGTATAATTTATATATGATTTCTAAGGTCCAACACGTTGTCTACACGAAAGTACTAGTATCTGGCCGGGGAAAATGTAACTTGGAGTCGATTTTTGCCGGGGCAGCTGACTTGTTTTGACCGGTAGTTATATAAAAATTTTCCGGACTTTCTACGTTTTGCCAGCGATCCGCGGTGCCGGGTAGAGGCTAGCGAGTCTCAGTTTATTTGCGGGACATCGCACAGACGGCTATCTCCCCTCGCGCACTACTAAGTATTCCCTTTCTTTTGGCCAATTTCTATTTTTTTACCAGCGGTCCGCGGCACCTGGTAGAGACTAGAGACTCACTTCTAGAATGTTTCGAAAGTTTTCTGATTTGGGAAAACTGTTTACAAAGTTAGAACCAAGTTTGAAATGTTTGCAAGCTTTGGAATTCTATTTAAAAATGGTTACAAACGTTTGAAAACAATTACAAACAATGGGAGCAAACAACCGCACGGTGACTTGGAATGGACTCTAATAGAATCATAACAAGATATATCTAGCTTTTACCGAGATCCGTGGTGTGATTCGTAAAAAAATGTAAGTCCTTTCTTTATACCGTCATCCTCATACACCAAGTTCTGTTTCTGACAGCACCATCTGTAAAATACTAGTAGTAAAAATTATGCCCCCCTCTTTTTTAAAAATGTTGGTTTTCTTTGTTCCGTGTTACCAAGTCCTTGCCAGGAACATGAATAAAGCCATACCTTGGCTTTTTCTATAATAACCAATGACTCTGAACGCACCTTTCTTATATTAGAATTCCAGATAACTATTATTTTAACATTGTTGTGTATTGTTGGGATTTGTCACGTCTGTGTTGAAGATAAACAGAGGTGTTCATGTCGTTACGTCATCATGTGCCAGACATGTGTTTTCCACATGCTGGAAGCTGAACCAGGCAAGTTGCAAGGCAAGCGGTTTTTTTTAAACTCCGCCTCCGTGGGCGGACCATGTAACATTGATCACCTTGTCACCCGTTTCCGGTGACCAATATGTAATAGTTATACTCTTTGTCGTTTGCCGCTGACGAATCGGCGTCCATGGGCGGGGCGAAAAAGGAAAAGTGATACACAGGTCCGAATTCCACACTACAACGCGAGGTACGCTGGAGGGAGGACGCATCACAGGAACGTCCAAGGGAGGGCCAGCGGGCCAACGTCCGGGCGGGCCAGCGGGCACAGGAGCTTGGGCTGGCAGGCGAGCGCTAGCGGCGGGTGGGCGAGTGAAGAGCAGGCAGGCTAGCGGCCAGGCCTGCGGGGAACGGGCGGCCGGGCTTGCGGGGAACGGGCGGCCGAACGGGCAGTACTTCAGCCGTAGAAGTACAGAGGAACCTACGAAGCCGGGACAGGTTGAAGCTAATAAAAAGGTATGCTTTAATGTTACTTCCTAATGTAGTAATGTGCCATAATCGTATCAGTTTAAATTTTGAAAATTATCACAGCCGTGTTTTTGCAGTGTCACATGTCTGTTAGTTGCGGTACTCTGTGGACAACAAACCTACATCTAATCATCTTGTTGGATCGTAATATCCTCAACCTGGGCGGGCTGAACACTCGAGCTCATCACTGTGTACGTAGAGAAATTATCGTTTACCATAAGTTTACCATAACTTGTCTGGCTACCAGGCTACTAGTATTTTGACTGACAATCGCCCGTTTGTATTTCGTGACAATTCCTCCCAGTCGCTATTTTCTTGTGTACTAGTCACTTTGTTTTCTGTATACGTTTGTGAAGTAAACTTTCCCCTACTACTGCTCGAAATTCTTGGTATATTTCAAGCAGACTTTTTCGAGATTTATACATTTTTTTCTATGTTATTCTGGTGTTCTTGGATCTCGCTATGTTGTCGTGTCCCCGGGTATTTCCTTATTGTGGTTCTAAAAATTACTAGTATCACTCGCAGTGGTTTTGGGAAATTTTGGTGAGTTCGCTTTTACGATAAGAATGTTGTTAGCTAAGTACAAAATGTACTTGGTTGTGTCTTCAAAGTTCCGGTGTCAGAATTTGGGTGTTGTTATATTATGACTGATCGATACATCATTTGTTGATCACTGAGGTAGAGAATGTTTGAAGTTGCTTGTTGCCTGGTTACCGCATGCGTGGAGGGACGTTGGAATTTTAGTTTAATGTGGAAATGGACCATTAGTTCATTTAAGTTTTGAACTCTTGACCTCACTGTGTTATGTCTTCTGAGAAACCGGGGTTTACACTGACTCAGGGAAGCACAGCAGGGTATTTCCTGCGATAGCCATCAGCCTAAATTAACTCCCGTCCCCGGTTCAGCAACGCTAGACCACAGACCACACTCTGTCACGCCGGCCTGCTGCCGCTCCGAAAAATTACCCTTTTCCCACCCACCCGACTTCTTGTATCTAATTTTCGCTCTCCTTTCATGAAATGTCTTATCATGTTAATCGCTTGAATCAAATTAGAAAAGTACCTTATAGGTGAAACCTTTGCTCTGAAAGTAAAATTATGTGTAGATATTTAGATAACTTAGCCTTTCAGTTTATGTGTAGAGTAGTTGACTTGTGTGTGTGTATGGGAGAACTTTTTCTTGTGTAAATAAACTCCCAGTGTTTGATGCCCAAAACTGTCGTCTTTATTTTTAATTATTATTGCTAGCTTAGTCCTTAGTACCCTAGACTAGTCACAGGATTCAAAACGCATTAAAAGTGTGTGCCACATGATGTCAACTGCCACCGGGATCAAGTTTTTCGGCCTTACTTGATATTTTCCCCTTTCCGACAAATCCTTTTTGTTCAGATTAGTGGCTTAGGGCTATTTTCAGGCCCCAGCCGTACTCCGCTGATATGCCAGATCTTTCCAGCTGGCCTTTCTAATAATCGATATGTAACTGACCCGCTAAAGAATGTGAAGATTCTAACACCCGTTTTCCTGACTTCACTCATCTTGTTCTTTGTGTGCACCTGGTTATTTCGTCCATTTTGCTTACAGAATTTGGTCAGTATTTCATTACAGATCCAACCGGTCTTTATCATGTATTGACGATCAGTGTTTTTAGTGAAATTTTTAAATAGCTGCTCGTTTTTAGCGGCTGGTTATCTTCCGCCCGACGTGTAAAAGAACGTTAGAATTTTGGTTTATGATTCTTCATTGACACAACAAAAAAGTACAGAGACTTTTGTATGGTCTTCTACAACTTAACTAAAGATCTAACAAAGCTAAATGCTTATTTTACCTACAGAGTATATGTATGATGTAACAATAAAGGTTAACTATTCTCTAACATGCGTTCTCTAAGACCGAAACATTCTTTAATGTATTTTCCTATTTGAGCACTGTATTGGTTATCTCCCCTGAGAATGTAGTTGCATTTATCTATAGGATCTAATGTATTGAAATCATTTGAACAAGCGGAAAGAAATGTGAACAGCAATGAGCGCTTATCATTGTATAGTGCACAATCCATTATAAAATGGTGTCAAGATTGAGCCACCTGACGCCAAGTTCCGAGGGGGGTTCCGGCCTCCGTCAAGGCTCTTCTGTCCAGTAACCCAGGGCGTTGGTTTTTCTTGTCTTTCCAGTAAACCTCAGACATGCAGCGAGGGATACCCTACTGTTCTACACTGAACACCGGCGCCGGCATATAAGGTTATGCACTGTCCGCGCTAGACTGCCCGCACCTGCCATTATGATGTCATTGCTGGGAAAACAATGTAGCCTGGGTGCCAGGCCCCTGTGCCACGATACTTATTCAGTTGGGGAAACTACACGCCCGGAACCCAGAATTGGCAGCCGGGGTCTAATTTATACCTCTAGATAAACTGAAGAAGGAAGCCAGCTCCGAAAGCGGGGCGTGTTGGGAAATATAGAGGCCCGGGCGAGAGGCTCAGAAAAAAAGAAGCATTTTCTTTATTCTAAGCAAGGAGGTAAGCTCCTTGTTCTAAGTGCTAGGGTCTGGCACACAGGCTATTCATAATGTAATTATATATATTACCTGGCAGCAGAAATCTCACACAGCAAGTATACTTCATGATGTCCCAAATTTCATTGCCAGAAAAGGGTGTATTTATGTGTCCGCTTTGCATATTTATGTGTAAATATTTATGTGTAAAACTTGACCACAAATCATGTTAATAGCTGGCCAAAGTTGACATAGATTCATTTATGCTCTTTTCTCTCTTTTACCCACAGATAAAATTCGCCATGTCCACCCTGAGGTGCAGACTACAGCAGGAATTCACTGGCCAGCATGAAACCCAGTCGTGGAAGGATCGGGGTGTGCATTCATGTTTTGCACGCAAGAAAATTGAAAAACAAGCATTGAATGCAACAGCATCGTGAAAGCAAAAAAAAACAAGACTGACACAAACATACATGATAGAAAACACACAAGTGAATAAAATTCCTTACACAAAACATCACTATTACACACAGTAAAGTTATTAAAAAAACGACCAGCATCATATAATTGAAACTAAAACATAATTGAAGCATTATAAGCTTGAATGTTGCTCCTTGTTCTTTCTTATGAGCAAGAAAATTTGTTCTCTCTTGACAGAAGAAAACATATTTGAAATATCAATTAAGTCAATCATTAATAATATTCTGTGTGCAAAAAGGCACAGTTTGCCCGAAAAGGTGCTTTTTGCATGCATGGTAACATAGGCCTTTCCTGCTGGGTCCGAAGATATAAGGCCGGAGGCTACCTCAAAACCAATTCCCCAGGGAATGCATTCGTAAAATTTTCTAAATTCTTTCAGCTTGATCGTAATATACTGTAAAAATGCCTCCGCCCCTGAGGCGTCGCCAAAAAAGTAATAGACATCCGGGTAATACGATACGCCAAAAAGCAGTTACGCATTGCCAAGCAACTGGATATGATTTTGGAAACGGTCATACGTTTCAGCTAGCATCCACTAGCTTTCGTCAGTGACTGAGAGACCAGAGGAGAAATGCAGGTTTATAAGGCACAAACTATTGATTGATATGCAAATAAGTAAAGACAGACGAGTGTATTTCCCTTCTGGTCTCTCAGTCACTGAAGAAAGCGGATACTAGCTGAAACGTCTGACCGTTTCCAAAATCATATCCAGTTGCTTGAGTAACTTCTTTTTGGCATAAGTCAATGTATTAGAGTCCTTTAGGCTATGAAAATAACTGCAAGTTTACAATTAGTGCAAAGATAATATGACTGCTCCAGATTTATGAGGCTGATGTTCAGGATTTTGTACTTAAACTGAGATTCCACATAATGGCCTGAGACTTTGAAAAGACCCTGTCATAACTGAGGTTAATGCCTTTGACCTTTGGAAAAGGCAAAGTAACAGTAACTAAATTATTCATCTACAATGTTGATCTTCATAAAGGATTGGTATGACAAAAACACACCTGGTCAAATTGAAATGCGGGAAAAAATTGCTACTGGTTCTGTTTCAGAATCTATAATAATTAACTAGTATTAGGGATGGGTACCACTTCAGCCGGACAGGTTTAAACCGGAACGACATTTGGGAACCAAGTCCTGAAAACCGAAATGCGAAAACCATCATCGGACCTGATGTACATTTCTGTAGATTATACACACATCTTAAGATAATCTGGCCATGGCTGGTAAAGAAAATAACCCTGAATCAAACTAGATTGGCCTAATCCATGTTTGTCTCTTTCTGACTTCCTCTTCAATATACAAATTTGTACAACTCCAACATAATATATTACAAACTAGAAAGGCCAATATTTGCTTTGGAGCAAATACAGCGATGGGTTCACCACATTTTACGACATGGCAGGGAAAGAATGAGAAACACAAGGGAAAACAATGATTTACATTGATATAACTATAATATGGAGTAAAATACAACTAAAACAACAGTTGGATAGCTATTCCCTACTTTATTGGTTAGGATTTTTAATTGCATAATGCAAACTGTTGAAATTTCAAAATAATAAAAAAAACGTCCATGCCCCGCATTCCAATGCTGGAGCAGGAAAGCTTGAAATACCTACCAAAACACTTGAATACAGACATACTGTCAGTATGGAAATGCTCTGTGCATGTGTTAATCAAGTTAAATCCCAACAGCCAATCAGCAAGAAATGCTCTGTGCAGGTGGAAATGCTCTGTGCAGGTGTTGATCAAGTTAAATCCCAACAGCCAATCAGCAAGAAGAATAGAGGAAAGCTGCATGCCTATTGGTTGATGCCCTGCATTCCATTGTGATGACTCATGCCCAAACGTGGTAAACAAGGCACACTAACACAGTAATACATTTGCTATAACACAGCCAAAAAACTCAAATAAAACCATTCTAAAAGCCTGTATCACAATAATTTAAAAAACGCCTAGGGGTATTTGCCCACTGTACCTCCATACCAAATTTCAGGACCTTGGGCCCTAAAATGAAGAAGCTGAATCCATTTATAAAAAATGGCAGGAGAAGAAGGAGAAGGAGAAGGAGAAGAAACATTAGAAAAAGCAATATGGGTTCACCACCACTTCGTGGTGTGGTGAACCCATAACTAGTGAGTCACCTGTACTCGTGTTTCGCACTCAAAAATATGATATAGTACTACTGTACAATAATCAGGTCCAGGTTTAGGTCCAGACCTGGACCTGATCCTCTGAACCCGATCCAGACCTGGACGGAATTTTCTATACAGGTACCCACCCCTAACAAGTATGCACCTCTAAGGCCACACCAATTTAATTTCTTGGTTAATGGATTTTTCTAGAAAAATAATGGAGCGTAAAAAAATGAAAAAATAATGGGGCGAAAAAAAAAATAAGAAAATAAAACCAGGCCTAGGCATCCTATTATGACCCAATATGGTACGATAGGAGCCATGAAGTCACCAGGCTGGTTCAAAATTTAAACAATGAATTTTGAACTTTTAATGATACCATTGCATTGAAAGATGGAATAACTGTAACAACTAGGAAGAAAAGGACTGTTTTCAACTGTTCTGGGCAAAATATGAGCATTTTGCAGTTGATTCTGAATTTTTATTTTATTTCAAATCAGAAAAAAATGAAGCGGGCGAATCCATTAACCAAGAAATTAAATTGGTGTGGCCTAAGACAGCACCTGTGTGTATTTCACCTGCAGCTGTTGGTGACGGTATGTGTGAACCTGCTGCTAGCTGATGTGTCTAGTGCACCTGGAGAGGGACTCACCATCCTGCAGATGAGCTCCCCCGGCATCAGCGCCCTCATGGCTCCTCCTCCCGGCTTCTGTGCAGTCATCATCAGACTGGCAGCCGCACAGATCCAGTTTCTCAAGGTAGATTACGCTGCCAGCTTGTAATAATTACTACTAGTAGGTGGATAAATACAAACAAGACAAGTTGGTGATCTATCAATTACAAGAATCTGACCGTACAATAAATGAAGTTTTGAACTACATCGAAAACATTACTGTTTTGTAAGTGTGAGAGTAATGTGGACCCTCGAAGTAGTAAGGAACATAGTGGACTGTCATAGAGATGCTGTAGCTCTACTATGTTGGAGAGAGATGATAACAGAGTACTTGTTTGACTGGAATACAGTTTACAATGTAGAAAGTAGTGTTCAGTTGTTTCACTATGATAGCCACATTTATAAGTATACAATCATGTGCATGTAGGGTAGTCAATACAATAATGTTGAAATAGATGATATTATTTCTTCCCTTACTAGTTCTTATGTTAGCTTTGAAAATACTTAACCTGAGTATGAATGACTGTCTTTTCAAACTTTTAGATCTGCAGTATACATGTAACGTTAGGTCTGGTGCAAACGTCTAATTGCAATTTAGAGACGTTAGACTAATTGTATTGTAAAAGAACTGTGTGGCTAACATGAGTTTGGTGATTTTTAAAACATGAAGTTCTGTATTTGCTAGCAAGTTTTCCTTATTCTTTCTTTAAACAGAATGATCTGACCCTGGACCAAGGTCTGCGAGGGTTTGTCAGTGACCCTAGCCAGGAGAAGGTGGACTCCTCCATGCTGAACTTGATGCTTCCACTGCTGATCAGAGTTGGGACAGGAAACAAAGGTACAATGTAGTCATTATTATCAAAGGTCAGGGCTCGAAATTTCCATTTTTGGGAATAGGTGCACTGGTGCACCCAACCAAAAACATTGGGTGCACAAAAATTCTTTGGGTGCACCATATAGAACAAAACCTAATTACAGATCTTACTGGGAGCTAAATTTCAAAGTACTACAAGAAAGATTTTTAATTATTATTTTTCTGGCACTAAGATGCCAAGAATATCCTGTATACTATAGATTTGATATGTACAAAAATACCTACAAAATATTTGGGTGCACTGGTGCACCTACAGAAAAGAATTGGGTGCACAGCTCCAAATTTGGGTGCACTAAGGTGCACATGCATCCAGTATTTCCAGCCCTGAAGGTTAATCATGTTTCACACTTCCATGTAACTACAGCAACTATAATAATTTTTTAGTGTCAGACTTCTGACATGCTGTACTTCATATCTTGGTCCCATACCTTCACAGGGAGCACTGTATGTCTGGCCAGCGCCCCTGTCACACAGAGCCAAATATGCATAATGTAGCTTCCCATTGCAAACCCTGCTGACCCACACCCAATCATGGTTAGGAGGTGGTCGGGAGCGAGGTCAGCTGTGATTGGCTGGTGTTCGGTGAGGTCGGCTACTGTTCTAATACCCTCAGTGACAGTGACACCGAATGTTTTAAATAGTTTAAAACAAGGGCTTTGGGTGTGGATGGGAGGTTCAGTGTTTTGGAGTAGGTCAGCTGACCTTGGTTGGCTAGTGTTCAGGGGCAAGGTCAGGAGAAGGTCCTGAATGTTGAACAGTACCAGAGTACAAAAATGTATGTCTTGTTGCGCGTGTGCTAATGCATGGGGTTCTTCAAGTTATTGAGTATGGCCACAACAAATTTTATGGAATCCGATAATATCAGTGTGACTGTGCATACAATTTTCTTGTCACTAAAGAACAAGGAATATCATCAATGATTATTCTTCTCCCGGTCTTAATAATCTAATAGCAAAATTACTTATAAATGTGCAGACAGGCTCCTATTTATTTCCATTCTTGTCCCCAGATATTCCCAGGATCAGCCGGATGGACATCCTTTATGCCGTGAGCACATTCCTGGGAATCCTGATCCCGGCTAAAGACGTGACTTCTCACCTGCAGCGGTCAGGCAGCATCACCGCCAGTCTCACAAGTTTCTCCCTGGCAGGAGACCACGCAGCGGCAGCCTGCTCCACCATCACTCCCTTCATCGCTGTTCTAGGTAAGAAGGTCTCCTGTGCTCTTATGCAGAATGTAGAGTGGTGCCCATCTCCATTTCCGTAGCCCTTGGGTGACACACAGTTGTGCAAGGCACTACAGCAGGGGGCTAGTCCGCTGGTAGTGCTCAGTGTTTGACCTTCCCACACTCTTTCTCTTGTGTGCTGAGTGTTAAGCAGAGAAAGAAATGTGTACCATTTTTAAAGTCTTTGGTATGACCCGGCCGGGGTTAGAACTCACGACCTCCCAGTTACAAAGCGAGCACTCTACCAATTGAGCTATTGCACCGATAAGGCCAAACCAATTTAATTTGTTGTTTCTCAGATTTTTTCAGAAAAAAATATGAAGCAACAGGGCGAAATAAAAAAAAGGGCCAAGGCACCACATGATAGCTGGAAATGTTACAATATGAGCCATGAAGTGAAATTACCAGGCTGGTTTATAATCAAAACTATTGAATGTTGAACTTTTAATGAAATGAAATTGCATTGTTAGGCCACACCAATTTAATTTGTTGGTTCTCGGAATCGCCGCTATCAGATTTCGCAGAATGAAAAAAAAAAAAAATCAATTTCTCATAGGCTCCGCCCCAGAGTTGTTGTCAAAAAATAGATCACACCACCAAAACCTGCAGTTTTATCAAGGGATGATAGGTGTCTCTCTTACCAGTTGGTCATGCGACGTATGGGAACCAATAGAAGGGCTCTATTTTGCATAACAAAATGGCGGTCAGTTTTGAGAGAAGAAACTTCGTCCAAGTTGCTATTAAACCTCCTTGCTTGAATGTAGGCTTCAAGAAGTAAGAAAATAATAGTGGCCGGAGATGTAGGAAAGCCACAATTTATGATGTTGTCAGAATTTCTGGTGTTGAAATTCTAGGGGTGGAAAAATTTGCAGAACTTAAGCTGGAACCAAAACAACTTTCTGCCGGTGGGTTTGATGTCCTTGCATGGTTTGATGAACTAGTATCCTATGTTGTCCTTGTTATGTGATGAGCGAACCCAATATATTATTCTGAACCGATTTAGCTATTGAGACTGCTATTCAGACTATTTTTTAGTTTATACAATCCAGGATTGTAGCCCTGTTAAGACATCATCATTATCATAAATTAATAAAATTAAATACATGTAACTGTTAGGTGGAAATAAGATCATGGTTATGAAAAGAGCAACATATGCATACATAGCAGTAATTAAACATATTATATATATATTTTTTTGCTTTTCTGTATACTGTACCTTGTACCTTTCATTCAACACGAGAGCCCCCGGGCCCCTACTAGTATTTCCAGCCCTGGCTTTACCATCAGACTTCACAGCTTTTTTTTTTTTTTTTTTTTTTCGCCCTGTCGCTTCATTTTTTTCCTGAAAAAATCCGAGAACCAACAAATTAAATTGGTGTGGCCTTACATTGAAAAACTTGAACAACTAGGGAGAACAGGACTTCTTCAACTGTCAGGGCCAAAATATGTCTTTCATTGTCAGCATTTTGCTGTTGATTTAGAACAAAAAAAAATTTTTTTTTTTTGCAAATCAGAAAACATGGTGAGTCCAAGAAACAACAAATTGAATTGTTGTGGCCTAAGCTTGCAAGGCAATGGTTGGCATCATTTTGTCTGGAGAGACGATGGAGACCGTGTCAGTTCCTACATCTGAGTGAGGACGGTTGACACAGTGGCCTTCGCTTGGCTTTGTTTCAGGTGGATAACAGGTCGCGAATCTGAGACCCACACACTTGGGTGTTAATAGCTAACTTTTCCTCAATTATTTTTCAACAGGATGTATAGCATTCATTGTGATGTTCTTAGTCTTAGATGTTGGCTGCTATACCAGAAATTTTGCCATATAGCTGGTACAAATCTATATGTACAACAAATGAACAAATGTCTTCATCCCTTTAATAATATGTGGGTGAAATTGTATGTGGCATCTTTTTACCTCCATGAAAAATGGAGGTATTGTTTTTGGCGTATATGTCTGTGTGTCTGTCTGACTGACTGTTTCCACAACTTCGTGGTCAGCATAACTTCAGAACGTCATTTGCATAATTAATAAGGACAAAAACTCATATATTTCATGGAGGTATGAGATCTTGGAATTCTTGTTTCAATTGCACTTGTTTTATATCTTGCAGGTTTGAAAATCTTACTTACGTGCTTCTCCAAGAACTTGACAGAGGAATGGGGCATGTTGTCTGCAGCACTGCAGGAGTTTGAAGTGGCGTTCCATCCAGTTGGAACCGGTACGTGGACCCTCTCATGCTTGGTTCAGTGGGTTTCTGTCCACTCTCCAGGCAGAGGTTTGGGTTTTGGCATGTTTTGAGACTTTTTTATTGGGGTTTCTTTTTTGCACTGGAGTTTTTCTTTCACCCAACCCAACCTCTGCCAGCAGTCGAAAGCTTCAATGTGGTATAAACCTAATCTTTTCTCAACACATTACAGTCGTTCTGCAAGGAGGTGTGAACCAGACACATGAATAGGCACAGTCAGCAGGAGGCGTGTGGCCCAATGAATGCCTTTCTGACTGGCTAGACGTGTGATAATCCACCACAGTAAAGTGGATACAGTATCCCTAATGATAATTTGATGGTTCCCGGGGAGAAGCACTGTCACGTTTCCTGAATAGGTTTGCCCCGCCCCGGGGTGAGTGCCGGCAGAGGTTGGGTTGGGTGAAAGAAAAATTCCAGTAGAAAAAAGAAACCCCGATAAAAAAGTCTAAAAACACGCCAAAAATAACCCAAAACCCAAATCTTTGCTTGGAGAGTACTTTCTGTCCTGCCAGTGTTGTGTATGATGCCTGGTCTATTTACCTCCCTAGAGGAACTCCTCCTCCTACAGAGGTACTGTTTTAATGTTGAGTATGCACGCCTACATTGTATAACTCACAATCCTTTTAATGTATTTGTGTGAATTTTGGTATATTGTGGATAATATTCAGGTCCAAAGGAACATGCATGGGGATTTGATTCATTGGTGAATAATAATGGACTGTTCAACTAAGGATTTTGACAAAACAATACACATGGGACAGGCAGCTATTGCTGGTGTTGTGCATTTTAGCAGTATTTTCTCACTGGTATTTCATCAGAATATCTTGGCACCCCTGTACTAAAAATTGTGTGGTATTATTCATCCATCATCATCATGATACAGAACAAGCTAGCTGCTGCTACCACGCATGGTGCTGCAAAGACTCCTGGAATTTACCTGTCACAGACTATATATGCTAGGAAGAAACCACTGCTGCATGTTTCATGTCGTTTGACCACTGTTCACTCATTGACAATTTGTTACTTTTATGTAGTCTAAGAGTCTTTTTTTGTATGATTTTTATGTACTTGAAGTCATTAATAGTTACTTCCTATCCCTACAGTACCAGATAGCCTATGCATACTTACTGTAGGATTGGTCTTTATTCCCATATGAGGACCAACCTCGGCAAATGATGACCTGCACACCTACCCTTCTGTCGAATCGACAGGAGATTCCAACAACAACAAACTTACTGTAACGGTTGTACTTGCAGGTGGCCTGGCATTTCTGGACCTGATGGACTTTCTAGTGACAAAAAGACCTCCAATATTTGTGCTGCTGAAGCCTTTTCTCCTCATACAAGTAAGATGAAATTTTTGTTTGAATTTCTTGAGTTCAACCTGATTTTATTTTATAGTGAATTTTGCAGGCTGATTATTGTAACAGTTTGAGATGATTTCCTTGTAGACACTTTTGGTTACACTTCAGCAAAGCGATCACAAAATTAAGAATCAGTTGTCATAGAAATGGGCCATAGAAATACGATTGAAAATGAAACATGATTGAAAATGAGCACCATTTTATAATGGATTGTGTCTGATATTTTAGTCCGTATTGCTGTTCACTTTTCTTTCCTCTTGTTCAACTGATTTCAATACGTTAGATCCTATAGATAAATTCAAAAGTACATTCTTAGGGGAATAAACAATACAGTGTTCAAATAGGAAAATATATTAAAAAATGTTTCGATCTTAGAGAACACATGTTATATTGTTACAGAATAGTTCAACCTTTGTTGTTACCGCATACATATATTCTGTACGTAGAATGACGTTATCCACACAATGTATTTAGCTTTGTTAGATCTTTATTAATTTTGTAAAAGACCATAGAAAAGTCCCCAGGTACTTTTTTGTTGTGCCAAATACCTTGATACCGCATACGGCTGAGGGAGGCAATGCCTATACTGAGCCATTCTAGTCACTTCTGACGTGCTTGAATTTGAGGTGCGTCCAGTGCTTGTCCAGATTAGTCTTGAACTGGTTCACTGTTTTGCTGTTCACTACCCATTCTGGTAGTGAATTCCAGTCCTTGACACTCCTAATACTGAACACTCGGCCTCTCACTCTCTTTTGCAAGGGGAACTTTTAGCTTGTATTTGTGACCTCTTGTTCTACTGTCCATAATAAAGAATCTATTTCAGCTCTCGAAGGTGGCCGTTTTGACGGAGCAGGAAGGTTTGCTGCAGGACCGTCTGCAGGAGAAGCTGTACGGGTCCAGTCATCTGTCTCCTGCTCACGCCAGGGGGAACTGGGACGTCCTGCACGATCTGTTCCAGGAGATGAAACAACTTCGTGATATCGCCATCAGCGGAAAAGGTTTGGAAAGTTCTTTAGGTCCTGTTGTGCACACATGATAGTATCACCTTAAAGACCAGGGGGGGAAATGATACTATCCCATCATCCTTTGCAATACACATCCCACAACACGTGTCCCAGATGGCTGACTGTCAGCACCAGGCATATAGTCCTGTCATGTTTCCTTTGAAAGTGCAGCAATGGCAACAATTTGACCAGTAATTTTTGGTTCTTTTAATTATCAAAGGACTCAAGTAGTGTATGAGGCTATCTGACTTTTGTAACTTATGTACAACTTCTTACATTGTGTCTTAAACATTTATGCAAACATTTGCTTCAAAAATGGTGCTCAAACTTCACCAAACTAAAGTGCTTTTCTACAAACTCTGTTGATTGGTGATATTATACATCTTGTGCATCAGAAAACCCCAAATGCACCAAAAAGCACCCATGGGAAACAGAAGAAAATATTATATTTGATATGATTTATGTAATAATCATCAACAAATGCAATTTTCTTCTGTTTCCCATGGGTGCTAAATTTTGGTGCATTTGGGGTTTTCTGATGCACAAGATGTATAATATCACCAATCAACAAAGCCTTCCCTGCTAATGTGGGTTCAGATCTAAAGTTATAGTGAACCGTAGCAGCTTTAAAACCTTCACCCTTTGAACCCAATCCAACCCTATTTTCCCACTAGTGCCAGACAGAATTTTAAAAGGTGACAGAGCCCTTGACTGTTTAACGTACATTTTACTTCAGCATAAGTTTTCTTGTACACTCATTACATTTTACAATTTTCCTCCAATGTGCACGTAGGATCAGAGTTCTTTGGCTGTTTTCCTGTTTCCAGTGATACATGTAACATTACCAACAGAGGGTCAAAGAATTCTGTTGAAACTTCCACTCATCCTGACAGTATGAAGCGCTCAAAAAAAGGTAACAATGTCCTTTTTTAATAAGTACTCACTGATAACAGTTAAAACATCATTTTTTCACTTATATGGGGGCCCGCATGCCCTTTTCCGTAGAGCATAATTGGCCGTTTTAATTCTACGTAGAGCGTAGATGGACCGCTCTAATTCAACATAGAGCGTAATTGGCACATTTTGTGTAGAGCGTATGACCATTTTAATTCTACGTAATGCTTTGTAGCCACTGAGTACTAGAATTTATCGTAAAGCGTAAGCAAGAGGTTTCCGAATTCAGCGTAGAGCGTTGTCGGGACCCCACCATGCAGGCCCTCTTATATCAGAATGTTTTGAAAATTCGTTATTTGCTTGCTCATTATATTTACCGAAGGAAAACATAATGTTTTTGCTACGTTTCTTCTTCTTCTTCTCCAAACAGTGACCTCTGACCTGAACCAATGTTGTGTCTGTTGCCATGGTAACTAGTGTTGGGTTACATCATGTTACATTTTTTATAGTAGGAGGGATTTAGACTCCTGTCTGACCATATATATATTTATATATATAATGTGTTTGCGTACGAATTAATGCGAAGGTAAACATTTACTTTCCAAATGTTACCTTTCTAGTTTTTGCTTAGTTTAATACATTGTACCAACTACTTCCCTATCAGTGTTGCTGGAGGACTGTAATGCCTACAGTCGGCGTACCAGCACAGTCAGCTCACAGGTGTATCTCCATCCACGATCCGTCCTCCGCGACTCTGTCCGCAGCGAGCCTACTCCACGTTCAAGAGGAGCGGACATCAGTCACCGGCCATGGCACCGATCATCAAGAGGTTTGGCAGTAAGTATGTCACTGTTTATTTTGATTTTTCACAGGGTGAAAGGAAGGGCAAAACAGGTGCATATGCACCTTTACCATACAAAAACGCATAGTAGGATAGCATTGTTAAAATTTTTGTTTGTCCTAAACTGTCACTCCAGTGCACCTATACCTATAGTTTGCGCTTATGCAAATATGCCCTTCCGTGTTCAATTCATTGTGTAAGAAATATTGTCCAATGTCATCTACTATTGTGTACATGTCTTTGATGGCTTTTAAAAAGAGCACCTGTTAATATTCCAGGATGACAGTGTTTGGTCAGGCAGAGCACGCTCCATGGCAGGCCACTCACCTCAAGCATCATGGGAGAAGGCAGAATCCAGAGGAGCGTCAACTACCAACAAGAAGATGTCCCTGCTCCACCCCACACACTTTGAAACTGGGGTGGGTAGATTTTTACCTGTAGTATAATGTCCTTGGTGTGTGTGTGTGCGCACGCGCGCGCGTGCATGTGTGTGTGTGTGTGTGTGTGTGTGCGCGTGCATGTGTGTGTGTGTGTGTGTGTGTGTGTGTGTGCGTGCATGTGTGTGTGTGTATGTATGTGTGTGTGCGTGCATGTGTGTGTGTGTGTATGTGTGTGTGCGTGCATGTGTTTGTGTATGTGTGCATGCATGTATGTGTGTGTGTGTGTGTGTGTGTGCATGTGTTTGTGTATGTGTGCATGCATGTATGTGTGTGTGTGTGTGTGTGTGTGTGTGTGTGTGTGCGTGCATGTGTGTGTCTGTGCGTGCATGTGTGTGCGTGTGTGTGTGTGTACATGGGAGTGTGCTTGTGTGTATTTGAAATGTAGAACATTGTGAATTTAATATAGACTCTGAGTAGCTTTCTGTCCTAGTTTACTGATAATAGATTTTTGATAATAACGATAATTGTTTACAGGACTATGCGGACCAGTCTCCTATGTCCACAAAGTCGTATGGAGGAGCATCGTTCACGGGCATCGCTCCCATAGCGGAGACAGAGAGCGCGTTTGGACTGTACAGTTCTGATGAGGGGGAGGGGAACAGCATGAGGGGCAGCCCAACTGTCGCTGGACTCATGGAAGATTAGGCCACAATTTAATTTCTTGGTTAACGGGTTTTTCTAGAAAAGTAATGGAGTGGGCGGTCGAAAAATAATTAAAATAAAAACAGGCCTAGGCATCCTATTATGGCGCCAAATGGTACGATAGGAGCCATGAAGTCAACACACCAGGCTTGTTCAAAATTTAAACAATGACTTTTGAACTTTTAATGATACCACTGCATTGAAAGATGGAATTACTGTAACAACTAGGAAGAAAAGGACTGTTTTAACTGTTCAGAGCAAAATACGAGAATTTTGCAGTTGATTATGAATTTTTTTTCGCAAATCAGAAAAATGAAGCAGGCGAATCCGTTAACCAAGAAATTAAATTGGTGTGGCCTTAGCTCATAATAAATATTGTCACGCTTTAGTAGATTTTACTGATGATGCGTGTATCTTATGTTTTGTAAGATTTACTTGTATTAAAGAAGAACAACTGTTACCGTGTTCTTACACAATTGTTCATGTATCAACTGTGACATTGAGACCTGGCTGTTCGTCTTTGAATGCTTGTGACCTGTTATCAGTGCATGAATAACTAATTATTCTAATCAGAATATTAATGTTAGACACCTTATGGAGTTATTGTAACAAATATGACCACCATTTGCATAACAACCTAAACACTGCCACATACACATATTTGCTACTTTGGGCGTTTTTTTTTTGGTGGGAGGGGGGGGAGGGGTAGCTCTTATAGCGGCTTGTTCTGGAACTGTAAAACTTTCAAGGAGGATAACTCGAAATTCAAAATCAAATGTGCATAATTAATGAGGAAATTCTCTACATTGTACGTTAAATTTCCTGCGTTCCATGACAGGACTATTTAATCTCATAATAAGAACATGACGAATATGAATTATGCAAATGAAGAATTAATTTGGAATAATCTTATTTCCTTGTTGATTATGCAAATGAATTCTTTATTTGCATAATTTATTTTTGTCATGTTCTTATTATGATATTAAGTAGTACTGCCACGGAGCGCAGCAAATCTAATGTAGAGAATTTCCTCATTAATTATGCATATACCTAAAATCAGAGAATTTCCTCATTAATTATGCATATTCCTAAAATCAGAGAATTTCCTCATTAATTATGCACATACCTAAAACCACAACAATCCATCAGCCCATCATAAGATGTGGTAAATGGCGGGAATCGGGAATTATGGACTTTTATTACACAGTGTCTGTACAAGGTACACGTGTATGACATTGTTAAACATTGTATAACAACATTGTTAGCGGCCCCAATACATGCACAATGAACAAGTCATTACCCCGATGAAGATGACAGACGGTCATGGAAACCTCGACTGTGTTAAACAAGTGTTTGAATATAGAGCTTTACCATTCAACAACAATAGTTCTCAGAGACTAGTCTACATAATGTGACATACATCGATAACTAAACTAAATCCGACTGTGGGAAAGTACGTCTAGTAATTTGTATGTGATAAATATAATTATGTACATGTATAGCGATCTTGTTTAGAATTAATCTGGCTCTCTTTTGTCAAGTTTTGAAATGCACCGTCATGTATGTATGCATGTATGTCATATTAGATGGACATAAGAGTTGGGCATGATAACAGATACATGTATGACACATGTCAGGCTGTGTACAACATTATTAGTTGAAAATATAAAGACTTACTGAATGTTAGGCCACACCACCAATTTACTTTGTCGCTTCTCGGATTCACCCTGTCCATTTATTTCTGATATAAATCAACTGCAAAATGCTCGATGAAAGACATATTTTGGCCCCAACAGTTGAAGAAAGTTCTTTTCTTCCAAGTTGTTAAAAGTTTTTCAATGTAACAGTGCAATTTTGTTCAAAATCTATTGTTATGATTATAAACCAGCCTGGTATGTTCACTTCATGCTCATATGTAACATTTCCGGCTATCATGGGTGCCTAGGTCCTTTTTTTTATTTCGCCCTGTCGCTCCAAATTTTTTTCTTAAAAAAATCCGCGAAACAAGAAATTAAATTGGTGTGGCCTTATGCACGGTTGGGTGTCAGACGTAATAAATGCACTTGGATCAGAATATTCCCAAGAAGACTGAAGAGCTGTGGACAATTGTATGGTCTTTGTGCTCGATAAACTATTAAATTGTAATCTTGTTCTCTTTAATTGTCTTTTTACTGTACTGCCATGTTTTGGGCATATTATATCTGAGACTTACGTTAGGCCACACCGACTTAATTTTATGGATGACATCCGCGCGCGCATTGATTTTCGCCTGTTCTAAAAAAAAAGACCAAAGAAACGTCCTCCAAGGCGCTTGCCTGGCTCTAGGTCTGGGTAGTCCATGGTAGTTAACGACAATACTGAGCCGGTGGTAACTCTGGAGGACGGCACCCAGGCTGCTGTAGCTCCACGACTGAAGACCTCAGTACATACGTACAGTAGCGATTCATAAACTCCGCAAAAAGTCAGCATGTGCCGGCCGGCTTGTCGTATACGTCGCTACGTAAATTAACAATACATGTACCAGCTTTGTATTCCTGTGGTTTAGTAGCATTTTTATTTTTGGTCGGAATTTTTCTACTCGCCTGCGCGCACTAGTTTGGGGGTCTTCAAAGGATGTCATCCATAAAATTAAGTCGGTGTGGCCTTACACATAATAAAATCACATACATCTGGAGGATGTGAGATTAGAGTGAGGCCGTGTGTTCGTCCCTTCAACAAAAACTCACATAAACTTCACATTGAACAAAATCTGATTTCTCTGCTTAGCTAACTTGACACTATGAACTAAGCTGGCTAGGTTACAATATCTGCCATCAAGGTCACTTTTTAGTAAATGATAACTCGTATCAACGTTCAGCGAAGTTCATCTTGTAGTCAGACTGAACATTCACAAATGCAATTTCAGGGTGGCAAAACTGGATTTTCAAAGACAATTCTGGCCATGTTATCATCCAGAATATTCCGTTTTGCCGCCCAGAAATGACATTGGATGGCTTTAATGGTGGACCTTAAATTAGTAAGGCCATGTTGATTTGATTATATGGCTGACATCTACGCGAGCAGGAATTTTCGGCCGTTTTAAAAGAAAAGGCTGCAACCATACTGTAAATCGTACAAAAAACGAAATGAGCAAATATGTACCGTAAGTCGCAAAAAAATTGGAAAACGATACCAATGTCGTAGAATGCCAAATTAAACGAAAAAGACGGAAATGTAAAGAAATGAATTTGAAGAGTAGATCATACGACATACCATACCCTGTGTCATTTGTTCAACCTTCATAACCACGTAGATTTCATAATGAAAGCAACTTTTTTTTGCCAAAGTCCTTTTTTTCGCACGCTCGCATCAGTTTGGGGGTTCCAGGGGATGTGTCCTCCATATAATCAAATCAACATGGCCTAGTGATGGGATTGCATTTCCAACAGTGGGTCAATTTCAATAGGCTATATGACAAGAACCTTTTCTTCACCGGGTAGATTACTCGGTGGTCGCAATCACAGACCGTACATGGCAACCCAGCAGTTTATTGTTTACTTTTTTCAAGTAGTAAATTTAGTGGCTATCTTGTCTGTGTTTTTGTTTGTCAACTACTCCCTTTTCCAAAAGACGGCTCTCCTAGGCCGTCCATCGCCTACATGTAGGCTAACGTAACTCAATGATCTATGAACAGTTGGTTGACTAAAATCTCACTTTCGATGTCTTACTGTCACAGTGATGTTATTATTGACATATTAATTATGTGCATAAGTAGACAGCCTGCAGTCAGGTGCCGTACTACGGTTTTTGTTTCATATATTCACATATATTTATTGATTATTGGGCAAAAAGCAAAAGTTGCTTATGTAACACCTACTCAAAAACATACAGCGAGTATAAAATACATTGACAAGATACATGCATAATTACAAGGTGGATAAAACCAAGATAAATACAAACAAGTTGGTGGTCTATCAATTACGAGAATCTGCCCGTACAGCAAATGAAGTTTTGAACTACATCATAAACATTACAGTTTTGCATAAGTATGAAAGTGATGTGGACCCTCAAAGTAGTAAGGAACATAGGGAGCTGTCATTGAGATGCTGTAGCTCTACTATGTTGGAGAGAGATGATAACGGTTGGTTGTGTGTCAGTGGCGGGATGTGGGACGATGGCGGCTCTTCTCTCGGTCAGTCAGCCACAATAGTCCAGGAGGAGATTCTCAGTTGAGGTATAGAAAATGGCAAAATTAGCCCACCCTGTACATACTCAAGTCAGTAACTTCATGTGTTTTAATCACTAAGGTCTAGGTGGGACCGCGAAGTGGTGCTATGGGCCTTTATGCAAATTTATGCAAATTGGTCAGATAATCGAGCATTACTTGTCAAAGCGACGTCAAACATGGCGAAACTTTTTATCAGTAGAAGAATGTTGATTTTTAGAGACTTGTAAATACATCACGTGATCACGTTTCCATGGTGACAGTTGCTAAGGAACGTTTGACGTTAGTTACGGAGTGGAATACGTCACGATTTTTTTCGGGTTTCTCCCCCTGGACTAACAACAACTTTGCTGACATGCCAACACAGTTGTTGTAAGGCCACACCAGTTTAATTTCTGGGTTAACGGATTTTTCTAGAAAAATAATGGAGCGGGCGGGCAAAAAAAATTAAAAAATTAAATTAAATTAAAAAAAACAGGCCTAGGCATCCTATTATGGCCCAAAATGGTACGATAGGAGCCATGAAGTCAACCCACCAGGCTGGTTCAAAATTTAAACAAAGAATTTTGAACCATTGCATTGAAAGATGGAATAACTGTAACAACTAGGACGAAAAGGGCTGTTTTCAACTGTTTCAGGCAAAATATGAGCATTTTGCTGTTGATTCTAATTTTTTATTTCTATTTGCAAATCAGAAACAAACTAGAGTTCCCCGATCTCATACCTTCGCCAAATGATGGTTATCTTTATGACTGACAAATTATACATTAGATTATTCAAATGGGAACCTAATTTTCATGAATCATATCATTTTATCATAATCTCAACCAAAAGACAGTCTTATAGTAACAAACAATGCATTCTAGTATTTCCTAATA